CGCTTAACCAACTGAGCCACCCAGGCGCCCAGTATTTGTCTTTAAATCAACATAAAACTTGTTCACTTTCTATTTTTACTAAGCCATTTCCTGCATAACTTTAGATTGATGACATAGTTCAGTTTTATCTTTTATGAGACACATCAGAATATATAATTACTAAAACTTAAAATGTTTGCGGGAATACAACATAACCACCACTGGCAGACACCCTACAGTTTGAAAAACAATGGCCTATGGGAGCACATCCAAATTTCTTTCTTTTTTAAAAAAATTATTATTATTATTATTATTATTATTATTATTATTATTAAGTAGGCTCCATGCCCAGCATAGAGCCCAAGGCAGGGCTTGAACTCACAACCCTGAGATCAAGACCTGAGCTGAGATCAGGACTCGGACGCTTAACCAACTGAACCACCCAGGTGTCCTGAGCACATCCAAATTTCTTAGCACGGCATTCAAGGTACTTCACAAATGAGCCCCAACCTATCTTTCCAGACTCTTCTACCATTACAAACCTTCCTTTCCCAAACAATCTGTACCCTAGCCATGCTGAATTCCTAAATATTGAATGGACATGCTTTGCTCTTCTATAGCTACATGTCACAGACTGCTCTTTCTAATCTGGAATGCCTCCCCTCTACTGTTCTCTGCTTGGCAAACTCATTATCCTTCAAGACCTGTCAGGTCACCTCCTTACAGAAGCCTTCTCCCTGACTTTCCCTTACAGTTAGACACTCCTTCCTTTACCCTTCTAATAGCACTTTGTACCTGTCTCTGTTACACTACACATTATCTCAGAATTATGGGCATACACCTCCCCAGCTAGACCTAGGGAGAGCTCACATCTCATACTCTGTTGCATCCTGAACACTCCATGTGAGCAAAGGTCATGGAGGAGACCTAGTGACCTAGGAAGTCACTTAAAACAAAAGCTACAATAAAACAAAACCTAAAGTACTGTCCAGGTAGCTTACATGTAAGACATGTTTTTTAAAGAGAATTTATCTGATTCAGAAATAGCCATACTGACTATAGTTTTGGCAGACACAATTAGCTATGGCTGCAATAGCAGTTAAGCTAATTTGGTTTTGGCAGTTACTTTACAGCATACACATACTGACATAGAAACTAAAAGTGAATCATTTGGGTTTCTGCCAGGATGATCAACTATACTTCACAATAATCTTTCCTTACCACAAATGGAAAGTCAAGAACAAAAGTGAACAGTGAGACTAGTAAACCATGGTGGAGAGAGCATGGGCTTTCAAGCCAGAGATCTATACATCCAAACCCCAACTCAACTCCTTACAATCCATGTGACTTTGGGTAAATTGTTTCACTTCTCTGCCTTTTAGTTTTCTCTTTTAGAAAACTGGGAAAAATAGTACCTACTTCATAAGACTCTTAAGATAATGCAACAAAGTGCTTATGATAGTGCCTGGAACATTACATGGGCTCAATAAATAGTCATTATTGTTACCCAATGAAATGACTACAATTCAGATAATATGATGCATAAGGGCAGCAAATACATTTCTTAAGAAAATAAATTTATGGCACCAGGCTTTAAAATGACAACTATAGAGTGTAGCTAAGAATAGCCACTAACAAAACAGTCTATAAGGCAAAGTTCTTCTTAGGTTTAAATTAAACTCACACCTGGAACATACCACCACACTTCTTTGTGTTCTCCAAGAAATGATCCCAAATCAGGTTCCCCTAGGATGAAAAAAAAAAAACAAAAACAAAAAATCACCCAATCTTAATTTTTTGTCTTTAGTTTTATTTGATATAGAATAATATCCAAACTATGTGGATGCTTTAAAGTATCTTGTTATTATGACCCCAAGCTTTCCAACACTATTTCTTTCCCAATCTCTCCTTGATGACACCTTTTATTCCAGTCAGGCATACCCACCCTTCACAAAAGTGCTCCCTCTTCTATCTGCCCTTCTCAGATACCAATCCCGGTACCAGAAGGCATTTTCTCCCTCCTCTTTGCCCATTTCAAATCCTCTTTACTCCTCTGGAGCCGAAATTAAAATTCACCTCCTCCACAAAGCCTACCAGGATTAGTCTGGAAGACAGACAACAATGTCAAGCTACAGCACTTCCAGGGTTAGGCTTGACCCTCCATAGATCAACTCCCAACCACATCAGTATTACACACTTTTTGCATGCTTTTGTAATAATAAAATAATTGATACAGTCTGTTTCGCACAGTCTACTTTATTCCGCAGTCGGTGTGCCCCCTAAATCTTTGTATTAGTGCTGTATCAGTCCGTGCTGGAAACCCCGAAAGCGCTCGGTTTTTAAAAGAGGTCTAACCTGCCTTTGACTCTCACCAGAACACTGCACTGAACCTTAACCACATATTTCTCAAAAGCGAAATTTCTTCTATCTACTGCTTCCCACGCCTTTTAGAAACTGAGGAGAAACCCTTTCCACTCCAAAGATCTGGTCAGGGAAGGGGCGGGTGGCTGGAAGGGCCAATAAAGAGTGGGCGACGAACTTTATCCCACCAGCAAGGAAGCAAAAAGTGAAAATTTGGCAAAAAGTCACTCCCTGGGCGTGGCGGGGAATTCCCACGCCCCCACAGGGAATTGGGGAGTGTGTGCATTGGGAGTGGTGTGTGTCCAAATCTGAAATGTAAATTGAGGGAAGAGAGGAAAGAGGTCACCCAACTCCTCCAAGTAGTAAGAAGGAGCGTCCAGACGCCGCCTAAGTAAGACCCCGGTCGAGAACCCTAACTTCAGATCCCTGAGGTGGCACCGGACGGGAGCGGGGAGAGACGATGGCGTTGTGAGGAGAAAAAGAGAGAGGGCGAGGCAGAAAAAGAAGAGAGGGCGCGCTCCCGAGGCTCGAAGCTCGAGGAAACTGGCGTGGAGAGCTCAAAAGCCCACCCCCGACTCCCAGGCCCGACACCCCCTCCCCGGCAGAGGCGGAGCTGGGCGGAGTTAGGCGCTGAAGACAGCGGCCCGGAAGCACCCTCCTCCCTAGGCCCCCTCGGTCCCACAGTCCCCAGCCATAGCCGCTCGGGCTTTCTGCCTCTCTGACCTCCAGCTCTCCGGCTACCGAAGGGCTACTCCTTATACAGCCGCGGAAAATCGGGCCGGCGTAACAGCTTCTGAGAGCACAGCGCCCTGGCGGCGCCCCACGCCACGCAACTGTCTTCTCAACTCCCCGCCTTGCGCTAGCCTGCTTAAGCCCGGCACTCAGGCCCAGGGCTGGACTCTCACCCACATCGCGGCTGCTTCAGTGTCTCCTATTGGTTACTGGTCACCAGGGAAGCCGGAGGCCCTATCCCTTGTCCTCATGGGAAATGTAGTTTTAGGCCGATGGAGGCCGTTCTTCCTGGGAGGATCCAATATTGGCATTGGAGGAGAGACTCAAGTGAAGACAGAGGATTGTGGGAGATGAAGTCGAGGCACTTCTTTCTGTATACCCACAATTCCTACCTCCAGTCCGATCATTCCCCGAGTTCAGATGTGGGAGGGTATTGTGGGTGTTGTAGTTTGTAGTGTAGTGCCCTACAGAATCTCTCTTCTTGGGGTATGGGGTTGTGCTTGTGGGGGTAGATGAAGGTTCTAGATTTATTTTACTATTGGTTAAGCTATTAACATTTTAGCGGAAGCACTTTATGTCGTGATTTAAAATTCTCATTGAGTTTTGATTGAAAAACTTAAAAAAATGTTATTTATGCTCTGATAAACTTAGAATAACTGGTCCTTTAAAACTGTCATAGTGTGTTCTGTGTGAACCATCTGCATTAGAATCACTTCAGAGGTTCTGGGGGAAATGTATACTATGTTTCTAGTCGGGTATCACATTTTTTCTTCGAAGTAGTATCATAAGAGGCATAGCAATGTGATCTAAGCCAGCCCAGCAGAAGCCCACTTAACCCATAAGGAAGCCACATTGTTGCCACGAAGAACAGTTGCCACATCACTGGTGTAATGCAACAATTTAGAACAGGTAGAGAATACAACTTGACTAATAAGAAATAAATGTATATTTCTTTAAGAAACTATTGTTTTGGGGGCGCCTGGGTGGCTCAGTCAGTTAAGCGGCTGCCTTCAGCTCAGGTCATGATCCCGGGGTCCTGGGATCAAGTCCCGCATTGTGCTCCTTGCTCAGCAGGGAGCCTGCTTCTCCCTCTCCCACTCCCCCTGCTTGCTCTCTCTCTCTATCTCATTCTCTCTCTCAAATAAATAAATAAAATCTTTAAAAATAAAATAAAATACACATACTTTTATGAAAACAGCTGTATATGTTTATTGGACAGAATATTAAAAACAAATTAGCTTGCTTTAGAAGGAAAATATTTCACATTAACCTATTTGATTGAACATTTTAATTCCCCCAAATTTCACAAGGCTCTACCTTCATTCATATTGATGTATAAATTAATCAAAAGACTAATGTTTCTTTATATATCTGTAAAATTAATCTGGAAAGCACTCACATATTAAAATAAAATAGTTAAAATAGTTTGGAAAAAATCTCTAGAGCTCTATCAAATAAGACTTTTTTTTTTTTAGTAAATGAATATATTTAGTTTTGACTAGTAGCTTAAGTCAAATTTACCCTGGATCCATCAACTGAGGGGCAGCCCAGTGTATGGGGGAGAAAAAGCACAGATTCTTGAATCAGATCATCTAACCTATGAGCTCTGGCATCTCACTCGTTAGATGTGAGACTTCGGGCCAGTTACTTATTCTGGAAGTCTCAGTTTTCTTACCTCTGAAATGGATATCATAATGCCACTGCCCTCACACTAGGTTGTCATGAGGATAAACTGATCAAGTATATGTGAAATCACTGCATAAATATTTTACACCACATCCACTATCAGCCAATAACCGAAAACTGTACTGTAATTAGAAGTTATTTTTAATAGAGTAAAACCATAAGGAAATTAAACATGTATTCATTCATGGCATACGAATAAAATTCAGTCATAAAAGGCACCTAGTTGGGTTTGACATCATTCATTAGGTCACCCTGGAATTGAGAGATGGCAAGGAGATAATATCACTATCTTTTTAACATAAACCCTTTTATTAGCACGGAGAAGTTCTTCCCAGATATAGTAATCCAGTAGCATAACAAAGCCCAACATTTTCACTGCCAGCAATTTAAATCGGTTTAAATTCTCATGAGAAGCTTCTATGTATTGAACCAAGCAGTATTTTCCATGAAAATGTATCTATTTGCTTTAGTAGTAGAGAAAACAAGATAGTCTCTGTTTTTAATCCAAAGACAAAAAGCACAAGAACTTCTCACATTAAAAATGTACAGAGATGGCTCTTCTAGAGTCAAGCATGCATCGGGGTATGGAGAAAACATCCAACAAGCACAACTCTCCAACACTTAGTGAAACAAACCAAACACTACCCAAAGAAGAAACTGAAGCTATAAATTCAAATAAATGGGCTGCAGGGAGACTACACAAACCTGCTGTTGCTTTAATTGCAGACAATTCAATTCAGCAGCTGTTGGTCCAGGCACTAAGGTTCACTGTATGCTCTTCAGCGTAACCTTGAAATACTGTCACTCACTCACTTCTCCACATCATCTGCATGCTGTCCAATTAATGAGGAGTGAAATCAACTGTCAAACCACGCATCAAAACAGAACATGATCTTTTAGCTCTTAAGCATAGGAGCACAGTACTTTAAGGACAATAAAGCATGGATGGAGGTGAAAGTCCTTGACCATAAATAATACTTAAACTTATCAAAACATATAGTTGTAGGAACTAAGCTTCTGTTCTGTTCAGCAGGAAACTGAAACTTTCTCGAGGTTTTTTCATTTGGAAGGATCCTTTATGTCTAACTGCTGTATAAGAAGCCTTTTTAAACAACATTCACCAATGTCTGATCAGTCTTCAAGTTCTTCATTATTACGGACCCATATGTTTCTGAAAGCTTAAGAAAATACTTAAGGAACACTTCCGGTCCAATGATATTTTACAATACAAAATGATTTGCTGCTGGCATATTTAGCCTTGCTGTTTCCAGCACTTTTTTTCCTACCAGGAGAACAAACAACAATAATATATAATGTTCATCAATCTGAGTTAAATAATGAAATAAAAATAAGTTTACCAAAATAAATGTGTTCTGGAATGCTTCCTATTTGAAGTTTCCCTTCTCTTAACTATATCCCAAATCTAGACAACCAATTAACAAATATGAGAGTTAAAAACTCAAGAGAAACACAACACACTAAGTGTTTAAAAATTGCTTCTTGCTTCCAAAGCACTGTGTCTTCTGTGAAAACACTCTAGGCTATATCGCATACTACCAGTTGCAGATGTAAGACTTGAGAAATTCAGCACAAGAATACAGCAGAGAAGCATGCACAATTAAGGGATCAGGACTCCCAATTTAACAGAAAACCCAGATTTTACATAGCAATCTGCTATAAACATTATAGCAAGGAGCAGGCATGTTTCATGCAGCTATTTTGTTTAGCTCCTTAGAACCTTATTTGTCCTTCAGTACAGTTGAACTGGAGGCAAAATAAGAGAGGAATGCACTTTGAAACAAAAGGGAAATTTCAGATAAAATAAAACATACTATACCTGTATATTGTACCAGGAACATCGTGACACTCTTCAGGGAACTGTTTCACGTTGTATCCTACCGTGAGTTATTCTCCCCTTTCCCTCTTTTCCCCACAAAAAGAAAAGCCAAAGCACCCCAAACCCCACTACACACTACCCCTAACCCAACGCCCCATTGAGGAAAAAAAAAACAGTTACAATTCAGCTTAGATCCGATGCTTCTGTTTAGCTCAGCTCCAGCCGAGCAACTGAGCTCTAGCAACGGAGCACAGGGAGGTGGATTCTGATGCCAGTAGCACTTCCATCCACTTCACTTACACAAAAGCAGGCAGTAGAAAATCCAGGAGCCTTGAAGACAAGGGCTGGAACTGGCTTTTATGAATTGCTATTACTGCATGTGTCACCATCCATCTCCAATGACGGACACTTACAGGCTGAATTGGGAGTGGAGGGGGTGGGGAGGAGGAGGTTGGAGAGCAGGTGGAGAAGCAATTAGCAGTATGTTCATTGGAGAATTCGTTCGGGATTTCATACATCAGTGCCTAAAGAAACAGCATGCAGTTGACAAATCAGAACTTTACGATTTGCATGCCTTAGAAGAAATCTTAGCTCATAGCTCCAAACGAAATAATGTTTCCCCACTCTTATAGAGCATGAAAAGTCACCCCTCTGCTTTCTCTTTCCTCTAGCTACTCTTGTTCCTGAGAAATCAACATTCAAAATGAAGATTTGCTAATTTCCCCTAAAGAATTGTATTTAAATGGCTGGAGCAAAGGAAGTATGAAGAAATTAAATTATATCGAACACGACATCTCTTAACAAAAAGGCAAGAAGCTAATTATTTTAAGCCAACTTTTCATCCCTAGTCCCATTCCCCAGGTGCAGCTTTCACACCTATAATCACTAGATCACACAACTTTTATGCATATATTTAACACTGGAAAACAATCTATGTATACCTAAAAATATTTCAGTTAAAGTCAAGATGAAAAGCTAAGAGCTATATGCAAGCCTCTCTCCATAGATGACCTTAAGAAGGCACTTTGCCTGTAAGTGCTTCAGTTTTACTCATCTGCTAAACTGAAGCACATTTTTTAGACCAATTTGAAGATTAATCATGAGTAGGAACAAAAAGGAGATAGTCGCTTAGAAAGGAAACATGACACAACTGAAGGAATACTGGGCCTGGGTATCAGGAAACCTGGATTTAGGCTCCAGTTCTACAACTTTCTAGCTGTGTTACCTTGGACAAGTCATTTAACTTCTCTGAGCTTAAGTTCCCTTGTTTATAAATTTGACACAGTAGTACCTATCCTGACAGCTTCACAGGATTGCTATGAAGAGCTAATGAGATAATAGATATGAAAACCCTTTTGTAAATTGTAAAAGACTATAAAATTGTATGGAATTATTATTATTATACTCTGGAACAAATTCTGCCTAAATAGCTGAAGTCAGGCACCTCTATCACATAAGAAAAATAAAAAGAAAGAGCCAATATAATTTCATGAAAAGAATTCTCAATTCTTCCAATTTTAAAGTTGGAAGGAAGCACTGTTTGCTCTTAAAGTGCCACAGAGGGGAAATTGTTTTAAAGGAAAAATTTGAAATCTGATACATAATACTTCAAAGTTTATTAAAGAAACTGAAGCCCTCTAATTCCTTCTTTCCTTTCTGGAAAGTCAGTTCATTTGTTTTCGTATGGTCTAATATTATGTCCCATCTAGAATGCAAGCTACAGGACAATGAGCATCACCTTCTGTTAAATCTTTCTATTAACCTGGTATATCCTCACTGCCCAGTGTGTGTGGAAGGATTCAGGTTGATCAGCTAAGTCTAAATCCACAAGGTAAAAATCCAAAGTCATGTTTTATGAGGCTCCAAGCTGCCTTGATACTATATATACAGTGACCAGCTGGCTTAAGCTTGGACACAATTTTAGCACATGAAGTCCTGGGGTGGCCACACCTGGGGCACTAAATGATCCAGGCAATGTTTGGAGACCTATGGTTCAGCCAAATCCCATATGTCCTGATTTCCATCTGTATGTTGGTTACCCAAGTGTATGTCTGTCCACATGGGCCAAATCTGAAGCAGCCAAAAAAAAGTGGGAGCTATAGCAGAAATGTCAGATGTCAGCTCCCCTGGGCCCCCTCTAATGCCATCTGTGTCCTCAAATAAGTGCTGAGCCCACTTCCTGAGAGAAGAAAGAAAACTTTCTCTAATTGCTCCCTTTGAATGCCATTGCCAATACTGTAAATTCCAGTAAAATATGTATGCAAAATCTATGTTAAGTCAATGGGGAAAATGGATAATATGAATCACAAAGAGTTGGGTGACTGGTAGCTAAGAGGGAGTGAACTATTAAAAGGGGG